TCAAAATTATATAAACAAACTCGCATGAAAAGCTACTTGATAAGCAAAGAGTGCAGTGAAAACGCATCAACTCAACAAATTATAATTAACTTTGTAAATAAAAGAAAATTCATCACTGTGGATTAATCCTTGGGTCAATAGATGGGGGCCATCTATATTTTGTACATTCAACTCACTTATTGGTCATATTCTTAGTAGCTTTTGCATTCAAGCGGAACCCCTTACTTTCCCTAAAGCCATTACAGTTAATTTCATTTTCAGTGCTATCATAATATCTATGATTGAATAGTTACAGGTTGGCGACTGAAATCGATTGATAGTTTCTCAATTAACATTCTCTGATCTTCTTGAATTTGCCCATTTACAATATAATATGTTTTTGGTGATTTTGCTAAAAACAATCTAATTTCCCCCCTTACCCCCCCGTTCCCATTACAATCAATAACCCTATCCCAGTTTTCCGGTAAATCACATTTGTTAAAATCATCCTTATTCTTACAAAGTATACCCCTTCTCCCTTCCCTTCTTTCCTTCACCATAAAACAAAAAACCAAAACAATCACGATCGAAGTCCAAAATGGCATTAGACCTAGATTTACTTCTCAATTTAAAGAGGACTGATAATCTCAGGTTATCAACGTGTCGAGTTAGCCTCTCTTTGTCAACAATTGGCTCGTCATAAGTTCTGTAATGAAAAATAATGAAAATGGAAACATTGTAAGAGGGGTTGTCTATGAACAATTTATACTGAAAGTACTGCTAAGGCAGAAGAAAAAGAAAAGCAGCAATCACTGCGTGTATTATTGGTGAAAAAAAACTAGTTAAGTATAAACCTTTCTATGTATGAGCTTATTACTTACTTGTAATGGTAATATAAGTACAGTTTGAAAAAATGACACAACAATAAATACCTGATAAGATCGGTAGTCAATTTCTCTTAATCTTCCCAACTATTATAAAACCCGTTGTACCCTTTCCATTTCACCAAATATTTAACCTGAGGATTTTAACTATAAAACTTTAGTATGTAAGAAAATTAATGAAATATATTACCAGGGCAAATTGTGAACTCACCGTTCCATGTGATGTCCTCCTCGAGATTAGCCTTTCCACGGCAGAATAATCAGAAGAGACATGAGCTTTTCTTTTTCTACATTTTTTTTTTTTTATCCCAAAGAGGGTCCGCAGAAGAAATATTGTGCATTTGAAGAAATATACCGCGGCTATTCTTGCTCGAATACCTTACGCCGCTCGCCATAATTTGCTGTATGTAATCTGATGCAAGAACGCGTGCGTAGTAGCAATTTTTTTTTGGATACACGAGTCCCCGTTTCAAACCGCTGAATGTCAGATTTCTGGCCATGCTCTTCTGAGACGATCAGGTTTCTTGAGGTTAATGACAAATCTGTGTGGTAAGTACCAAGTCACTTTACTATCGCACTGTACTTCCTCTTCACTCGGTTTCTTCACATAGCCTTTCTCAATGTTATCCTGGATTGACTTTGCATATCTCTCTCTGACCTCGGGGCAGCTCTCAAACTTCTTCTCTAAGGATTGCAGCCTCTTCTTTGCCATTTCGTAATTGTTGGGTAGAGATGGTTCCTCTTCTCTCCAAAGTAGGCCTGACACATACGCATCTTCACTCGCATTCTTAAAGCTTGTCTTTTCCATTAGTGACAATGCTCACTTGTCCTCAATTGAACGGGTTGGATCTGCTAGCTTCACCACAGCAAACTTTTCTATCTCATACACCTTGAACCCATTGTACGGAGATGGTACTCTTCGCTCACCAGGTAACCAGTTAGTCACCGCCCATCCAAGTAGGGTCTCAACTGCATAAGGTACTCTGTCAACTTCCGGTTGACCAGAGGGTTTCACAATTTGCTTTGGTAGAATCAAGTCAGAGTTGTTAGTTCCAATTATGAGTTGCACTGTACCTGTGTCGGTGTCACGTAAGTCCAAGTTCTTCAGGTGCTGATACTCTTGCTTGATTATTGACCACTTCAACTTCTGATCCGGACCATTTAGGTTAGGAATTTTTTTCACATCTTGCAAGGAGTACTGGGCTTCCTCTCTTCCGACTCGTGCGACACGACATCTCTTGATGTGCTGGGAAGTAAACACCTTCCGCACATTTACTCCTTGAATTTCGAGATCTACATCTTTGCCTTGAAGTCCTGGTGAGAGCGCTAAACCTTCATCTATAAGTGTTGTGTCAGCCTAAGTCGCGCAAGGCCATCACTTGTTATTTTCCTTTTTCTCCGAAGACAACTATAGGAAGTACTTCAACCAAGGCACGACCACCAGCTTCACAACCTATTGGCGATATCCCTCGTGGGGCTCCTCAGCCTGACGCGGTGACGAGTCTTCACCTTCCAAGGAGACTTTTGCTGGATCTCTCTCAACATCTGGCACTCGTTCTGATTCACATTTCGCTTTTTCCCGTTCAATAAATTTTAAGTCGACTTCATGTACGAGGGTATGATGACGCTTGTCACAGTTCTCAACTTTGCATCTATTCCTTCTACGGAATTTACTCAAACGATGACCAGGTAATAGACAACATAAACATAGTTTGTGTTCCTCAACAACTTTCACCTTTTCGTTAGTCAACATTCCCTCAAAACTTTTGCACTCCTGCAAAATGTGATTAGTGGACTGGTGAATTGGGCACCTCTTTGTTCCATAGTTGGTGCGTAAAGATTCTCCTGTGGCTCCTACAAACAGCATCCACCGCTGCTCGGACTCGCTGATTTTTGCCTCTTTTTCCAGCCAATTGGCAAATGTATCCCAGGTTGACAACTTTGGTTTTCCTTCGACAAACTCGGCCCATCTACCGCAAAGGCGTGCAGGAAGTTTAGCAACAGTTGCTTCAGGGACTTGCGAGTTAAGCTCATGAAGGAAGTCGTGCTCCTTGAAAATGCCTATAAGCCCAGAAACTATTTCTTGATACTGTCTGATCTGCGTACTATTTTCTTTCACTATGGTCGGAAATTGATCTATGCGCTTCTTTCCAGATGACAAAACTGTGTCTACACGGCCAAAACACTCCTGAAGCGCAGCCCGTGCCTCCTCGTATTTGTCTTAACCTGGCATGAATTTCGCTAGACATGATTTTGCACCTCCATCTACACAATCTAGCAGAAATTTAAGCTTCTCTGTTGCATCGTAAACTTCCCTTTTATCTACCTCAACATTAAACGCTGCTTTGAATTTTGAGTACTCTAATGGATTTCCATTAAATTTCTGCACATTTGGTGTAACGATTTTCACAAAGGCTGGCAGCATTTTCTCAAACTACTGGTCTGTCTTCGACGTTTGCACGTTAGGGTTTCCCGTGGCAGAGGTTTTCAACTCAGCTTGATCTTTAGCAATAGATGATTCACATGTGTCCTTTTTACAGGGTTGACTAGAAACCTCTGTTACGACTTCCGGTATAATGGATTTAATTTCAGGTTTTTCAACAACAGTGTTTTCAGTAATTCCCAGGTCTAAGCGCGAGACCCGATCGTTCACACCGTCTAAAGGTAATTCATTCAACTCTTCATCAGTATCGCCTTTATTCGACATGCCTTCTTCTTGGGCGATGGCATCTTCGAACTCGTATTCCAATCTTGATTCTTCAGCTTTCTTTTGGAGTTGCAAAAGCTTTGCACGCTGCTGTTGTTCGGCTCGCAGACATTCGATCTCAGTAGCGAACGATTGCTCGGCTATTTTTAGTTCAAGGGCTAACTTCTCGGCTTGTAATTTCTTTCTTAAAACGGAACGTGTACTTGAAGTAGTAGATTGGCGTAAACAGTCGTGGTGTTTTGTCTTCTGCTCTTTTCGAGGCATTCATCCTAGTGCGACTTGAAGGAATCTTCACAATTTTAAACCGCACGGCTCGGTGATAATATTACATGCAGTTACATGAACACGGTTTTCGCTCAACATCCGGCTCGACTTGTGTTTTATCTCACACATGAGCACGTGGCCCATGGCAACGAGCAGACCTGTCAATTCACATAGCAACACACAAAAAATAAATAAATAAATAAATAAATAAATAAACGGACAGGAAGCGGGAGGGACAAACTTAGTTTGGTTTTTAAAACCTTTATAACGTGGTTGTAGACACGCAGACAAAAGCGCCATATTGACCAGTATGCGAAGGTTTCGCGGAAGAAAATAGATTCTTTCGGTAAAAACGTCGTCCCATCTTAAAGGAAAATGTTCTAGGCTTTCCAACAGCTCTTTTACAAACAGGGAGACAAGAAACTAGTTTACCTAAGAATCTTGCGCGTGAAGTTCGAAAAAAACGCGCGATTTTAGTATGCTGTAAGTATCGTTTACTATTTTCGTAAGGCTTTCCAAATGTTCTCGCTACCTAACAAAAAGGAAATAATTACTCTTTCTGAATTAGATTAGTCTTTGGGACCTCCTTGTTTAATTGTCGCCTTTTAGCAGCAGCAACAGAACTGTAATGCAGTATTTCCAAAAGGCACATTGATGGCAACCAAAAACTAATCCAGCCATACAAAATTATCATTCATGGTGGTTTAGATGGTTTTTCAAGAATGATAGTATTCCTTTAGGCATCAACCAATAACAGGGCTTTAACTGTAATGCAGTATTTCCAGTCAGCTGTTGAGCTCTACAATTTACCATCAAGAGTTCGCAGTGATCTTGGAATGGAAAACATAGAAGTTGCTCGCTTCATGCTGCAAGAAAGAGGTTTAAATAGAGGCAGCCACATCACTGGAAAATCTGTTCATTACTAGAGAATAGAGCATCTCTGGTGTGATGTCAACTGGGTTATTGTGAGTCGCTTTTCAAACATTTTCCTCTTTCTTGAGCACCGTGGAATTTTAGATCCAACAGATGAGGTGCATCTGTTTTGTATTCATCTAGTCTACATTCCACTGATTAATAATGCAATTAACTAATTTATCGGTCAGTGGAATAATCATCCTGTAAGCACATAATGCAATTTCTCTCCCAATCAGCTCTGGATACAAGGAATGCTACATTTCAGAAATTCTGGGTATAAGGCTGTGACAGATGTGACTGCCAGCAAGGCTGTTAATTTATTCAATCATTATGGGATTGATGAAGAAGGGCCTGTACCTGACATGCAGAGTGACTATGCAGTTTCAGTACCTGACACAATTACTACTCTGACACATAACCAAGAATTGTCACTGCAAGAAGCTGGAGATGCAGCCTTCCAAACTGGTGATCATGATGGAATCATAGCCTACCAAGTGGTATTGCAGATTGCTTCTTTTTATTTAAACTGCTATTCATGATTTACTGTATTAACTTCATGAACTTGGAATGAACTCTTAATACAGTTAGTATAAATTGGTTACTGTTATACATGTCAGTATGCCAAGAATAAAATTACTGATGACAATGTAAATGGGAAACAGTAACAATAATCAGTTATAATCTCAAATCTAACAGCCTTACTAATACAAAGGGGTGTAAAACTTTGAATGTACTAGATGCTTCATAGTATTAACGCTTTAAACCTGAGATCTAGCATTGATTTGCAATCACTCAAAACAATAACAAATGAGGTAAAGCTGTGGCTACATTGCATGCATAATGGCTATTGCAGAGAAGTTTATACCCTTGTAAATTAGCTCTTGTAAGCTCTTTTATGTTAGTGTTGAGTTTGGCATGCTGTTAACGAAACAGTTATTATGCTGAGTAACTTGAAACTGGAACTTTGAACGTGGAAAATTTCCTGAGTAACCCAAACCGATTTGAAAATTTTATTGTTTTATATGAAGGGTCCACTGGCATATTTTCCTTGGCCACTACTTAGGAAATTAACAGAGATTTTGTATTAATTTGAGCAGTAGAAATTTCTAGCAATAAAGGAGCAAAACATTCCCATAAACATATGTAAAGTCATGGATGATTGTACCAAGTACAAAGATTTTTTTCCTTAAAACCTCAAGTTACGCCCTCCCCTATTCAGTCTATGATTCTATGTGTTTTTTTTTATGTCCTATGAAAAATTATGAATAAAAATGGTTTGTGGGCCCAAGAATAACACAACTGTTAACTGAAAGTAAGATAAGGATGGATCATCCTTTCATGTCTATATCTTGCCAAAACCAATTTTGCCATAAGCAATACTCTCATCCAAGAATTCTTCCGATATCAGCCCAACGAAAACCGGCGTCATTGTGCAGAGTTTGCAACTGTTGTTGTAAGATCCGTAGCCTTGGTTTGCCGACTAAACCGTTCCTAGCCACAGTTGAAAGACGATCGTTTAGGGACGATGGTGCAGTAAACGTAGACCGTTCCGAGTCCTCGAAAATTCTGTCAAAGTCCCTTGAAAGTTCGTTCATGAGAAAAACAAGTTCGTTTAGATCAGATATCACCTCAACTTCATTTGGGAAGGCTTCTTCTATTCTTAGAGTCAAAGTGACAAGAGTTCTTTCGTTTTCTTGAAAACAGCGACTAAAAAATTCAGCCGAGTCGTAGGACGCAGTGTTCCTTTGCCTTTCTGCACTTTCCAGTAGCCTACCCAAAGACGTAAAAAATCCTTCGATGTTGGGCAGCCAAATCCGTACACCTTGCATAGTGCTTCTCAAACTTCACTGATCGTCTGCCTTTATTTCCCGCCATTTTGAAAGTGTTAGTTTCCGGGGCTTCTTGTTTAATCTGACTTCCGGTCATTTCTATTTCCGCTTCCTCATCTTTTAGTTTTATCGAACATCTTTTAGTTATATAAGGTCACGCATGAATGAGTCAGGAAAGCAATGTATGCTGCATAACATCGCTGTATGACATCCAAAATCGATGTATTCCGGATGAAATTGATTTATTTTATTTTAAGACTTGTATTATAACGCATAACAATAATGTAATTGAACAAAACATTAATGTATCCATGTTCGATATTTTGTCCGTAAAATAACCTCATAGCTATCAGCATCAAATCTGACTATTTATGGGGAATCAGGTGAAACTAAAGAACAAGTAGAGAGTATTAGGTAACAAGTAAAGGGTTTCTGGTTTCTGTTCAAATGAGAGATTTTCGATTTCTTTTTATTCCTAGCAATTTTTATTCAAAAATACAAGAAACAACATAGGCACAGGCTAATCCATTTTAATTAATTATACAAATTCTATAATAAAAGACAATTTTATTTTTTCAATTCCCCATGTTCTAAACGAGTTGGGGATTGGGTCCGAATTGGGACCGCAAAGCATCTATGGATTGTTTGAAGGGACAGATTTTCCAAATCAATATGGCTGAAAGCGAGAGCAAAGCCAAACTAACTGTTAAACTAACTCAGGAAGATATTCCTGGGGCAAAACTTCCAAGGGATTCTGTTGAAAAATGTAGCGTTGTCCAGTTGAAGAGGTGGCTGCTTTGCAGAGGTGCAAAAACGACGGGAACAAAGAGAGCTTTAGTGTCGAGGTTCGTATCGAAGCTGGCAACTTTTAAACTAAGAACCTTTACACGCAATAAGTTATTTTTATTTATAACAACTTTATTTGTAATTATATGCCTTTTCAGAATTATTATTAAAATTTCCTAAGAGTAAAAATTTAATATAATCGAAATTTTCGAATTTAATAAAGTCCTCTCGTACTTATGAGTGCTCTAATTTTGACTTATAGAGTACACGACTACATCAAGCATGGATTTGATGTTAAATACTTGCGTGATCCGGATGGCGGCGTCAATTTGTTACGGAAAAAAGCTCAACTTGGCGTACTTGAGAATCAAGAGCCTGAAGTAAAGGATTCATTCCCAAAAGAAGGATTCCAACCAGATATAAAGGCACTACCAAAAATATCATTTGGAACTGTGTGGAGATTTATGATCGAAGGTGTAGAATGTAAAAAGCAGCTCTCCACTGCTAAGCCACTTGTTAAAGGATTCAACTTTTTTAAATCTGGTCATGTCCTGTACATAGGCCACCTACAACAAAATGGCAAGCACTACATCAAAAGCCAAGTCCTCCCATCTATGAAAAAGGACAAAGTTTATACATGCTACTTAGTTATTAGTTCACTTGGAAAGATGCTAAGAGCCCACTGCAAATGCCCTGCTGGCATAGATGGGAGATGTAACCATGTTGCATCAACACTTTTTGCTTTAGAAAACTATTGTAAAGTAAGGGGAAAACTGGATGAGTCTGATGAGTCATGCACCTCCAAACCATGCAAGTGGAATGTGCCACGAAAGAGAAAAGGTGCAATACAGCCCATAAATGAGATGACTTTTGTGAAGCACGACTACACGAAAGAGAAGAAGATACGTAAGCTTCATCACTCTCCAGTAAATGCAAACCAAAATGCTTGTCGCGATGAAAACAAGTCAAGGTTTTTTGAAATGATGAAGGAGTACCAGAGGGTATCAGGAAACACTGTAGCTTGGACACATATACTGCCTCAGGAAGTAAAGAAACTTCAGGATGTAAAGGATTCTCTGCTTTCACCAGTCAAATGTCATCCCGTGTCAGCAAAAGAGCTAAAAGAAAAGTTTGAAAAAGCAAAGAGAAATCTTATGGTTGATGATTTACAAAGGCAAGATATTGAGGAACAAACTAGAGGTCAATCAAACACTGAATTATGGCATCGCCACAGACAACCAAGGATTACTGCCACAAAATGTTACCGTGTAGCTGTACAGAGAGAAAGTACGTCCCCTACTAAGATAATTAAAGATATACTTGGTTACAACAAGGCCTATCAAAGTAAGTCAATGGAGGAAGGACTGAAAATGGAAGACCAGATTATCAATGATTACAAGCTTCTCAAGCAAAGTCAAGGAGATGAAGGCATAACAGTCTCAAAATGTGGGTTTTTTGTTTCAAAAGAACATGGTTACCTTGGTGCTAGCCCCGATGGCCTTGTACATGATCCATCAGCCTCTGATTCAGAGGGACTTATAGAAGTTAAGTATGTCCAGACATCAAAGGATGAAACACTAGAAAAGGCATTGTTACGCAAGAGCATTTGCAAAAAGAACAGTAATGCATTGAGATTAAATGACAAACACAAATACTTCTACCAAGTCCATCAGCAAATGTTTGTTACTGGAAGAAAGTGGACAGATTTTGTTGTAAAGGGTTCAGGCTGTGATTCACTGTTTTGTGAAAGAGTACATTTTTCAATAGACCGCTGGAAGTCTATTTTGCCCAAGCTAGAATCCTTTTTTAATGACTGGATTGTTCCAGAACTTGTGTATCCTAGAGTCAAGTATGGAATTCCTAAATTGAATGCTCGTTCAGTTTAAAACAGTCAAAATCAATGTGTTCATTTCAGTAAAAGTGTGTAATTTAAGAAAACTATACAATGAAATAGGCAAATCAAAATTTAATGGGAATTAGTGGTTTGCCCAAATTATGTTGCACACTTTTTAGTACTATCAGAGTGTAAACAATATATTTGTGAAGGTAGAATGGTTTTCAAAAGCCTGTGAAACACGTACTAAGTTTTGTACATGTTTAGTGCTTTTCTGCTTAAATGCTTTTGTTTCTATTGTTTAATACTGGCACTATTAGAAAGTAAATAGTATTAATTGTTTCACAGGTTTTTTAAAAACCACCCTATAGGTATTTGCTATAGCTAAGATTAGATAAACTTTGTCTTGAAAGAAACAGCGATCTGTTTTGTCTATACACATTAACTCAGTATTTTTATACATTGTACACAGTTATGTTCATATTTGACTGAGTAAAATATTTACTAACTACATGTGTAGTGTGCTTGGATTATTGTAATGACTTATAACCAGCCTGGTTACAGTCCAGTGGTATGATGGCAATATCATAATACATTATCAAACACTAGTTTATCAATGCTATTTTAATGCAAGGCAATAAAACATAAATCCATACCATTGTTAAGTATTAAAATGTTGCTTTATATTCACATAAATTTTAATTAATCAAAGGAGGGTAAAAATTAGAAAGTCCAGCCACTACAAATAACATATCAGATGCTATGGGGGCAAGAGTAATTGGAATTCGGTGGTCAAAGATGTGCCAATTCTTTATTCTCTCCATCAATCGCTCAACATGTACTCTCAAACAATCTTGTTGTGGTTGGTTTCTTCTTTTGAGAATTGTGTATCTTTAACCAAAAATGCTGGTCTAATCAGTTCTGCTCCCACAGAAGCAAGCTCATCAGTGCAGTTGAACCCTTTGTCTGCCATAACTTGATCATAAGGTTGTAACTTGTCCAACAGTCCACTTTGAACTGTTATTTCCTTGTCAGAAGTTGAACCAGGAAATAGCTCACTGACAAAACATAAAGCACCACTGGGTGTTATACCAAGCAAGGCTTTCATCGTCGTTCTAGACTTGTATGACGAGTAGCAAGCAGATTGAGAATTAAGTGCTGAAGGTTTCTCCATCTCAAACTCTGTACAGTCCACAATAATGACACAGTCTGGATAGAAGGATTTGAAAATGTCAGGCATGTAGAGTTTGAGAACTTCCCTGGGTGGAATAGTAATAAGTGGCTCAAACTGTCCCCTCAGAAATCTCGTCCAGGCCCTTGAAACTTTGGATACAAGGGGTCTTGAGACACTAAACCGATGAGCAAGGTCCTTTTCCAGCAATCCAAGCCTTAATCTCACTAGTGTCAAAGTAAACTCTTGGAACTTGGTTAAACATCGAGGTCTGCCACACTGAATTCCTGGGTGCGTTCGTTCATGTTCATATTCAATATGCTCTGCTGCATCTTTAACCATGTCGAAACATATCAGCAGTGCATTATAGTCTGGTAAACCAGTATAAAAGGCAATGTCTTCAGCATTGTCTTTATATTTCTCAATATCGAAACGAAAGTTTTCAAGAGAGTGTCTTAGTCTTTTTGTTTCTTGCTCGAGTTTTAAGTTTGCCTCGAGTAGGTTTGCATTTTCTTCACTCAACTTGGCATTTTTCTTTCTGTATAAATGTACATGTTTTCTTGAAAAAAGTAATTCCTAGGAGATTAAGATTGATTTGGAGTGCAGAAAAGTAAAGTGTAAAGAAAACCGTAGCAAAAATTGGGCAAAGGAGACTAAATATGCAAGCTGTACCTCTAAGCCTCTTTAGATCCTACCAGCTAGAGGTACAAGACCAAATAAGATAAATAAATGTACAGGTATTTTTGAAAAAAGTGATTCCAAGGAGTTTAAGACCAATCCGGAGTGCCGAAAGTAAATTGTGAAGCAAACCGTAGTAAAAATTGGCCAAAGTCGACTAAATATGCAAGCTGCACCTCTAGCCGGTAGTATTTTCTAAGCCTCCTGAGATCCTACCGGCTAGAGGTACAAGACAATAGAAATTTCATCTTGAGATCTTTTTGAATCAGTTGCAGAATGAAAACGCCATTAAGTTGGCGATACTATTTACAAGTTTTGCTTACCTTTGCAAGCGTTGGTCCTAGCGGCTACAGTGTTAAGCTAAAACTCTGCTCAACAAGAAACTTTATAAGATCGACGAGGGTGAAGGAAACAGCCATAAAAAATTAAGCGAAATTTCCTTGATTTAACCTGTACATCGCTCAAGAAGTGTCATTTCAGAACTCTCGTTTAAAATTGTGATATTTGTAATTATACGCAGAAGAGCTCGAAATGGTTCTTTGTTTCATCAAAGGGCTGTTCAGAACTGTTTTGAGCCGTTTTCACTTGTATGTATGTATTTACGAAGGTTTTTTGCAGTTCAAGGCTGAAACAACGTTTAAGGGTACTATTGCGTGACTCTGAATGCGAATAATTTATGCGAATTTAGCAACCTCGCCGACTGAACAGGAGACAATACAGCTTTGTCGATATGTTTATAAGAGCTGTAGGATGGAACTCCTTTTCTTTTTGAGTTTTCTCGCTCTGCCTGGAAAGAAATAAATAGGAAACGTGCAGAGCATGTATCAGTTTGTTATCTAAGGGACAAACTTCCGACTAAACTTACTTTGGCCGGCATTTTATGCCATCTTACACCGAGAGCCTTGTCTTAATCACTTCCGCAATACCTACTTCGTCCTTCGCAACAAGGTATGTTTTGATTTTAAACCTCCTTTTGACATTTAAAGGGTGTTAACCATGTTGAAGCACAAACATTGGCGAGACAAATATGCTATTGTTTCTTGTCGTACACGACGTCTTTCTAGAAATATTTGTATAAAAATGTATTAAACACTGCTTAGAATACAAAGAGCATCATAGGCCATTGCAGTGGGCAATTATATGGAAACATACCAGCGAATGTTGAGAGATATTTTGACGATCAGCAAATCTAGCTGTCGGCATGCGAGCCTTTTTCGTACGTCGATCATGTAGCAAAGTGTTCTGTATTTGTGTTGACGTATTTTCTTTACCGCTTCTATTTATGTGGTAAACAGAAGCCGTGATACTGATCCTTGGTCAGTGAAGCATTAATCAGATTATTTTATCATGACGGTATAAGAATGTGACGATAGTGTTGTTTCCTTTGGAAGTAGAGTAATGTCTTTTGATCTGTTGCTCTTCTCTTATCGGTGTGAATTGTTTTAGGTCGGTTTTGCGCCGAACATTACTTCCCCTTCTTACAAGGAAGAATCGCCTTCAGACTGTTTTTTTTTGCATGGAGATGAATGTTAATTGTCTTTGGGTCTCAAAGCGTTAAGTAGAGTGTGACTGTAGCCAGCCCAGTCCACGCTCGGTTAAGTTTCCCGCCATTTCGGTAAGGTGACTAGTATGGTCATTAAGTTTTTGACCTGAGTTTTTAGTGGATTAACGCTCGTTTAGCGTGCCTTTTTGTCCCTTTCGCGGTCCTAAGGCTGGACAAGTTTTATGGCTTCTACTTGCCGTGTTTGTTTAATCTATGTAGTTACATAGAGATTGTGCTATAGAAGGTGCATCCGAACATTTTTAATCACGAGTTGCGACGCATCAAAGAAACGAACGAGTGTGAGTCTTTCGATGCATCGCAACGAGTGATTAAAAATCGTTTAAGCATTTTCCATGGTACGATGAGATTTTTCACATTTCAATTCAGAGATAGAAAGCGAACGACTGTCAAAATACATCGTTCGCCCAATTAGAGACGCGAACGAAATAATTTTAACTTTGTGGCTTGAGTATATTTTAATGCGTAAACAGTAACTCCAATTAGTTTTCTTCAAGCTAAATACTATTGACACTTAAAGTCCTTCATTCATTTATTCAACGATGGTACTTCGCAAGGTGTCCGGTCGTTTTGATACAAAGTCGTTTCGATACAAGCCGTTTCGATACAAATCGAAGTCGATTCTTTAAACTGTAAAGTCGATTCGATGCAAACTGAAATCGTTTCGTTAAACTCGAGAAAAGTTCAGCAGAAGCGTGTTAGTTTTCGTCTTTGATATGTGTGGTGATTTGTTGTTTTCTATTCAAGCAAAAATTCGACTCAGTTAATTGAGCGACTCGATCGATCTATGTAGTTGTAATACCCAGTTTTCCCGCGACTCGATCGAACGAGTTGTATTACTCGGTTTCCCCGTAGCCTAAAAGAATAAACTTTGTTGAATATTTATTTAAATTACGAAGGTACGCTTACGTTGATCATGACTTTCGCACATGTGGTGGCTCCTAAAAAAGCCATTTTGAGCGACCTGAAATCGTCCAAAGCGACGAAAGCAAGGCGCGGCGAAGCTACTGGGCCGTTGAGGTAGGAACACGCCTTCAGTAGTTTTTTTTTGCACTGCGGGCACCAGAGTTGAACTCATTCCAGAGGTTGAAGATCTTGGTTTGAAGGTCTCAGAAATTTTGTTTTCGGATGCGCCGTAACTTCTTGGACACAAGCCTGATCTGAAGAGATGTCCGACGGGCCTCGCGATGAAGAAGACGGATCAGGAGGTACAAAGGAAGCTGGGACTTTCCAGACGCACGGCGATTCAGCCCAAGATGCCAGCCCTCTATGTCGTTGTTGGTTCTCACTGATTGATTTGTTAACTGTTCCAGTGTGTTTTATACACTGATATCAGTTTAAAGCGTTTGGATTGATTTATTCGCTATCACTAGGGTAAAATAAGCAAGTTTTTTCGAACAATTAGCTTACGCGTCTATTGATATGATAATTTACGAACCCGCTTACCCACGCACCAGAATAACTCCTGTTTCCTCAGTTGTGTTTCTTGATCGTAGGATTCATATGCGCTGGAGTTATAGAAAAAGTCTAATGTATTTATATAAATCTCTGTTCTTGATAAATAAACTAAGTCTCGTTGGCTTGTTCTCATTGCGTTGGAGGCTTGTGTACATCTGGAGGTTCGCGGAGTGTGTTTGTTTTATTTACAACGGAGGTTTGTGTTCGCTCTAGTATGGTATTCTGTCTCGAAACGACTTAAAGTACATGTGTAGCGAATTGACTTTGATGTGTACCGAAACCACTTTGTATCGAAACGACCGTGAACCCCTCGCAATTGAAATCTCAGTATGTTTGAAATAAATTATCCTCAGTTTACACCTTTTGCACTAAACGCTTCAGTCACGCAGGATAAATTGTTGTGGTGAGATTCTCGGTAGGCGAAATGCTCTACTCGTCATTTTTACAGAACGAATCATTCCATTAGTTCAGTCATTCGAATTATGTAATGTAACCGCAGTTCCACCGTGATGGATCCGTCTCTCATTATTCTGATCTGAAATTGTTTCAGCTCATCATGGCTTCCGCACTATTTCCCTCTACCAGAGAAACAACCAATTATGCCCGGTTGTGTCGCCTTCTCATCGATGTTGGAACAGAAGTTTTGCGAGAGGTATTTGATCGAATTCACCCACCAATCGACCTGCACAAAGTGTTAGCACAAAGTGGAGTTAAAAGTAAACTGCAGGCACTTTTGAAGAGGAGAAAATTAAATCCATCTCAGTGGAACATACTTTATCCCACTTCCACTACTGTTTCGTCTGCGGACTTTGATGTCACCCTTCTGATGGTTCTATTCAGGAACATCTGCAATTTGCCCCAACCTGGGACTGGTTGGGATGATCTTCCAACCGCAGCAGACACGAGTTTAGAAGCTGACATTGCTCGCGTCAAGTTCTACAGAAACACAGTCTATGCACATGTCAGCAATGCCTCGATTGACGATACAGAGTTCACTCACTACTGGCAAGAGATCCGAGAAACGCTGGTGCGATTAGGAGGAGCAGGTTCAAGCTATGGAGATACCATTGATCGTCTTGCGAATGAGAGCATGGACCCCGAAAAGGAGAAATTTTATCAGGAGCTTTTGAAAACATGGTGGAATGATGAGTTCAGCCTGAAAGTCAAGCTAGATGAGATAGACGAGAAACTATCGGATTTTGCCAATCCTAAAAAGAGAACGCGGTCAGCAGGTATGTAATATAAAAGTCACATCTGACACTTTAGAGTAGTTTTACCGTACCCCTTCAAGAGAAATGTTCATCTATAAAATTATTTCTTCTGCAAAAAGTCTTCGCAAAAGTTAGCACCTAAAATGTCAGGTTTCTCGCATTATCGACATTCATTTGTCATTCATTTTACAGCAACCTAAAAAAAACTTAGCTAGCGCCGTTGAGTCAAGGATGCTATTTTCTGTGAACTCGAACCTCTTCCTTCTTCCCTTCTATCATCCTTTTTTCCTTTCCGTCGCGCGTCGCGCCTCACCTCCTTCCTTTCCTTTTTTTCTCATATTTATTCCCTTCCCATTTTTTGGATTCCCTTTTGGGTGTTAAATCATAGCATTAACGTAACTTACCTCGAATAGAGGTTCTTTTTCTAACACCCTATTTTTTTTTAATCCCATTATTTGTTTCATTGTTTATGTATCTATTTTTTGGTCATTTGGCGATGATTTATCATTTACCTTTCGGCCGAAGGCACCACCACACCCTAAGGGCTGATGGGGGGGAGGGAGGAGGGTAGTTTAGGGGAAAAAATTGAAGTGGAGGAAATTGTAATTAGTTGTTTGGGTGCAGATGAATGAAAGCTAGAGATTCGTGATTGTTTTATTTCGTGTTTACCTCTAGAGCCCTTCGATCTTAAGCAGTGCCAGAAAGAGCTTCATTCATTTTATCGCACAATTTGTAAAGTAAAAATCATTCCTTGGAAGCCGAAGTCTGCAGTTTGCATTAATGAAATTTACACAAAGTTATCATGGCAAAGGGAAGAAAGCAAACCAAGCGAAGATAGTCAAGAGGAATTAGAAGACTACACGGACATGTTTAAGAGTTGTGGGCCTTACGACGAACCAAACCGAATATTGGTGTTTGGGCCACCAGGCATAGGAAAGACTACATTTGCCAAAAGAGTTGTTTTCGACTGGCTACATCAAGCAAAGGAAATCCTCAAAAAGTTTGAACTTGTGCTTTTTATTAGGCTGCGAGATGTGTGTGAATTACAGACTCTGCCAGATATTTTGACGGCTGCCAAACTGTTACCAGCTGATGGCATGATTTCAGTCGAGAGCTTGTACGAGTACATTCAATGGAACCAAGAAAAAGTTCTTTTGGTCTTGGATGGCTTTGATGAGTACTTCTGTGCAGAATGCTCTCCTGTCCGTAACATCTGGGAGGGTAGTTTGCTTAGGGGTTGTTCCGTCATTGTCACAACGCGGTTGGAAGGGGCAGATGAATTGACAGAACGCAGTCACGTGGAATGCCAGATTAATGGGTTTGTTAGTGGTATTCAACTTAGAAATTTTGCAAGAAAGTTTCTTAAAGATGAAGAAGTTGTTGCTAAGTTTGAGAAACATCTGGAGGAGAAAGGCTTAAGAAAAGTTGCAGAAATACCACTTCTTCTGGTGATGCTGTGCTTACTTTGGAAGGAAGAAGGCCACAAAGGACACCTCAAATCACGAGCCAGCATCTACATGCATTTCATTCAGATGTTACTGGATCACATGACTGCAAAAGAACCACATGCAAAGAAATTTCGTAAAGTAGATGACTACAAAGAAGATCTCTTGAAACTGGGGAAACTTGCATTTGACGCCCTTAAACAAGGTTCTCTCTCTATGTGCTACAGCGAACTACCCGATGATATTTTGACCAAGAAGTTGATTGAGGTAGGTTTATTTCAATCTCTGAATGTCTCAAGTCTGAAGCCTGAGAAGGAGGTTTTCTTCATTCATAAGTCCGTTCAGGAGTTCCTTGCCGCTTGGTACGTCAAGGAAGAACTTGCATCTTCAAGAAATAAAAGCCCGACCTGTCTCCCTGAAGATGAATCTTCTGAAAAGGTTTTAAAGATGACTGAAGTAATCAAATTTGTCAATGAAATGTCTGGAGAAGCCTCAAGTATTGTCCTTAAGCACCTGGAGACGGTAGCAAAGAGGGAAAGACTCACGGAAAACATACTCAGCGAGACACCATCATTTGAAGACTTGTCAGAGAAACAAAGGCATTTCCTTGCACTCTGTTCACACAGCTATTTTTGCCTATCAGTCGAGAAGAGAAAAGATCTTTACTGCCTGTATCTGTCTTGCACTGGAGGTATTTTACTGATAGACTCTGATCAACTCCATGTTATTGCCAGCGAGCACTTGCTGAAATACTCTCAACCACCGAACTACGTATTTTTCACCGATAGTAAGCATCCAAAGGAAAACTATAGCGACCTGATCACCGTCCTGGAGGATGTGAATGGGACTCTTGTTAGCTCATCAGGTGAAGTGGAAGCCTCGATGTTTCTCAGGAAGTATAATCCACAGAGAGTGGAACAATTTTTCCTGAAGAAAGAGAACAATTCGTTCATTTACCTTTATTTTGCTCACATTTATAAAAGATACGATCACATTTTTCCAATCGAAATGCTCCACGATGTCACTCGGTCACCTGAATCCACTCCGACAAAGAAGACCTCTGTCGGTGACCGGCCAAATGGATCAAACAACACAGCTTTGCCGTTGACAGAGCACATTGAAGGCTCACCTGTTCCCCCCCGTCATTGCCTTTCATTGACCTCAGAGATCCATACTAAGTATTTGGAAGAGCAAGAAATGAAGACACTCATTACGGCCCTTCCGCATGTGATTTTTCCCCGAGTCATGACCATGTCTGTTCCAGTGGGTAAATTGTATGATGCCCTCATATTGGAGAATCTGCTGTCTCGTCTCAACTTTACAAACAGACTCGACACTTTAGAATTCTGCCGTTGCAATATCACTGCGGGGCCAGCCGCTGCCATCGCCAGATCTTTCCACAAAGCACCTAACTTGCGTGAGCTCTACTTGTCGTACAACCCCCTTGGTGACGGATTGAACACTCTCATGGAACATCTCCATTGTGTTCAGCGGTTAGAAACACTTCGCCTTGGAGGTGTCAAGATGACTAAGGAGCAAGTGGAGGATTTGACCAGAGCAGTACGTCAGAGTAACATCACTAGTCTGGGGTCGTATTATCATGTGAGTTTAGAAATGGTAATAATTCAACTCGGGAAGTAGTCAGGTCAGTTATGAATTTGGATCGTCCGATAGCGTGACGCGTGACTAATTTGAGATTACGAGCACGATAACCAGTAAATTGTACGACACGAAGTTCTCTTGCCAAAATGCGAGAAACTCACACATAAAATATTCAGTGTAAAGACAAGCGTTTCATCTCTTTCGAAGCAAAAGTCTAGGTTTCAAACTGAATCGTGACAACTTGCTCTCTGAAATTTGATTGGCTAACATTGGTGAGGTAGTTAAATTTTTTTGGCTCGTAGTGTTGAGTACTCGTATCCACCCTTCATTACTGCCTTGGCAATCAGAAAGTAAGAAGTATTTTATGTCAACGCTGCGTTATTTTTTGTCATGAAGGACCACAAATAAAGATGAACATCTGTAGTGAAAAGATATCTTTTTTTTTTCTGATAGGACGAGCAAGGAAATCCCAAGCCTGAGCACGAGTGGCCAGCAGACGAACTATGGAAAGGAAAATGGTGGTACAAATCAGAGGACGAAGTAGAAAATGGGACGGAGGGCGCATTTGAGCCTAAATCAGAGGAGAGGCTGAAGCCTGGGACAGAGGACGAGTGAGAGCCTGTGACATTAACAAGAATCATTACCTGCTGAAGGCAAATTGAATTTGTCGATTGATTCCCAATTCGCACGAAGTAATCACTAATATTATTATGGCCTTAGGAGAATCATTGTTGCATATTGATTTTAGGTGATTTTCACAGCAACTGAATTTTGTTATTTTGTTTTGTTTTTTAAATTTTCTTCGCTACCTTTCAAGTACAGTTGGAAAAATAATGCTCTAGTATCATAATCACTTCTTTTTTTGGATGATTGTTTCAAGGTATAACGTAATCTCCCTATCAATAATCTCAGAAATCACCCGGGCAATTACACTGGTGAGTGTTAGGTTGATGACTGTATCAGAACCCAGTGGAGGGAGGGCCAGGGGTATACTTAGTATAGTAGGGAAGAGAAGAGCCTTGATTTTTAATTTTCTTCAGGTTAAAGGTTATTTGGTTTTGGAAATATTCGTCTCGCTACCAAATTGGTGACAGCTACACCGTGATGATGAATTTATTGAGGAGGAACACCAATGTTTCCTTGTGAGTTCGCTGAGTTATTTTAGATTTTTTTGGAAGTCGAAGTCGGTTTCAAATGTAAGTTGTTTTGGTCACCAACCTCGTTCTCAGGGAACGGGAACGAGGCTTTTGGTCATGAGTCGTTGAGGTCGTAAAGACCGGTCTACCTGAACTTGAAACGAAGACATACATAATGTAAGCAAAAACCTAGGTTCATTTACCGGTGACTTAAAACGTCTAGATCTTTCTTAATAGTACAAAGCTTCTTTTATCTATGTCTTTTGATGGGTCGTAATCAAGTGTCATTCTTTCTCGTGGAAAACCTGTCTGTACATTGAGCTCCTTGAAAAGCAGTGTTTATGTTTTAAATATTTTGATTATTTTTGGTGTAGTTAGGTAGGTAGGTAGATTCTAAATTGACTGATGGAAATACCGTGTATAAATAAAGTTATCGAATCGTATCCCTAAGGCTCTTTTGATATCCTTATGATTCCCCCACCCCCTCCTTCATTGGCATTTAATTGGCTGTCAATTTTATATATTACCGGTACCCCCATCGTACTCTGTTGACGTCGACTAATTCCTCCTCTGTTCTCCCTGAAAACCATGAAAACCGAAATCCTCCTCCCCACCCACTACTACTGAGTGAGTTTTGGGTTAGGATCACTGACCAGTTAAGCTATCTGTCTAACTGAGTTCTTGTTGGTGTTGGTGGTAGTAGTGCTCGTCATTTTATTTTTTCAAATCTGTCATCGGTTTGGAATAGCAGTTTATGTAAAAAACGAGAACTAGAGAACTCTGCGGGTAACTCCTTTGGCCTTATCGAACAGTCCCAGATCGGTTCCTTTTTTAAGAGTTTCTTTTCTTGGCGGGGTGATTAAAAACCGTCTGAAAATCAATTCAATTTGCACTTTTAACTACCGATTGTTTGGTGTTTTAGCTTACAGCTTCCTCCATACGATGTATTCCCTCATCCCTTTGCACGCATGTCTGTAGCCATATCCACACCCGCTATTCAAATGAGATACCGTAAACTACTTGCCTATAAGGCCCATTCCCCTGTTATAGGCCGATCTACTTGAAAACAAAAGAACGCATCCGATTATTAGCCTCCCCAGATATAAGCCCTCCCTATTCTACCCCACTTCTAACTTTACTCGTTCTCAGAGATAGGAATTCGATTTATGACCCGTAAGGCTCCACGCGTGCAATCCCATAGCAAGCCATAATGACAGCTGACTTTTGTAGGACCGGATGGGTTGACGTTAGCCGGACCAGAAAGAGCCGTCCGGCCCTGCACTCATACCCTAGCACACAACTTTATTGCGAAAACTTAAAGGAAAAAAAGGAAAGTGTAAAGAAAATGCATCTATTAATGGTTGTAAGTTTCTTGCTCGGACTAAAAAAAAAGGAAATGGTTTCATTTTAACATCTTTTTTTTGTGGTTGCCTGTGTGCGCCCGTCTTTCGTCCTATTCGGGTTGAAACGAAATTTTCAACACTTAGTGGTCATATGATAAAATGCTTATTGATTGAGTTCACTGGGCTCGGTCCGTACGTAATGACCTTGAGCTAAATATTTTCCGATCCGGCCCTCTCACTTAGTCAATGAGTACATACTATCGTGAAGTTTTGAGGCCTAATTAAAAACCAAAAAATATAAAACGTATTTTGATCAGCACTCCTGCAGCGCGTTTTGAAGCGCTTTTAATATTTCAGATATAAGCCACTCAGTTTATACGCTGTCTAAAACTCCTTACGAGGTTGAATGAGCCCAGGGCTTATAAGTGACAGTTTACGTTATCAGCTACGTTCTGGGGATTTTTGATAAAACCTAATGTTAACCACGGATTTTGAACTTCTCAGACTCATTCAAATCTTCGTTTCTTCACTGTACTGTTCCTGTTCGTTTGTTCCTTCCTTTGATAGTTTTTGATATAACTCCTTACATAACTATACAGTCATTCTAAATCAAAACGGATTGCACTCGACATTTCCGTCCTTACGTTTTTCCCCAGATCATACAGTTTTCCATTCGAATGATAGGAGGAGAAAGCTAAAGAGGAGCTAGAAACCGTCGAACTGTCGAGAAAATTTGTTTGAAAAATGCTATGGTAAATAAATGTACGAAAAGAGAAGATATGTATTTTTATGTGGAATGGTTTTTATTGGTTTCTACCTCAAAGTTACTACGATGATATGCATTTTGATACAACATACAACCTAAACACCATAATTAAGCGGGAGTCTAGACGAGTTCGTTTCTAAGTGATTCCTTGTCAATGTTCTATTTTCTTTCTATCATTATTGGGTTTCTTATGTCTGGGTTTATCATTCTCCTCCTCTTCTTCTTCTTCTTCTTCTTCTTCTTCTTCTTCTTCCTCCTCACTTGGACTAGGGGGAGGGTAGCGAGCGGGGTAAGGGTAAGGAGCGGGATAAGGCATGGGGTACGGAGAAGGATACGGGGAGGGATATGGCGATGGGTACGGAGAGGGATATGGTGATGGATACGGGGAGGGATGTGGCGATGGATACGGGGAGGGATATGGTGATGGATACGGAGAGGGGTAGGGAGAAGGATACGGGGAAGGATACGGGGAGGGATATGGTGATGGATACGGAGATGGGTATCCCCCGCCGGGATATCCGACGGATGCGTCCTTTCTTCCTGTTAAGCGAATGACAAAAGAAATGTCGTTAAATCACCACTACTGCCATCAAGACTATAATTTGACGTTCGAAAGGGAAAGGCGTTTGGACGCTCAACCGAGATTTTTCTGTTCAGCTTAGAAAAGTGGATGTAATATAGGGTGATTATATTGAATAAGATTACGAAAAGACACCATGAATTGGTAACTTTTTCCAACAGGTCGGTCACGCCCCATTACATGTGGTGTCATTTTACCGTCGTCACCAAAACCTCACTGAGATGATGTAGTTTTTTATTTTCTTGAGAGTCCTTTTTCGGAATCGGTCGGAGTTACCCAGGAGTAAGGGCTGTTCTACAGTAGATACTTTGGGAACCAAATCTATTTTGATAAGGAGGCGAATGTGAACCTAGCTAGTATGTTTAACGTGCCAAATTTAAGGTCATGTAAAAGGGGCCTCTCCCTATTACAATTTTTTCAACATCATTGAAATAAATTTAAATTCCTACCAGAACCTGAACCACTGCCACTTCCCCAATCTAACGAGCCTTCTTCTTCTCCAACGCCAGATTCGCGATAGTGAGATTCGTGTTCGTGAGTGTGGAGGGCGTGATCTTTTGTTCCTTCCTCATTCGTCGGGGAAACATGTTTTCCTTCGGTTATTGTGACTAGGGCCACTAAGGCTGATAGGTAAATGGTAAATAAAAATGCCCCTCTCATGATGAAATCTGGACTTTAATTCTAGAAAAAGGAAAAACAAATTTTTTTAGCATTATTTATTTTTTTTATCTTATTTGCTAAAACGTGACTGAAAAAATGATTGTCCTTCTATAACAGTTAATTCAATTTTTTGTTCACTGTTACCACTACACTACTCTGAAATTAGTGTTAACTTTTCCTAACACAACTTGACGAAGCTGTCACGAAATTGGTACACAATAACATATTTTTTGTCAGGTTCGTTTGCAATATTTACATTTGTGTCTCACCTCACTCGAGTTCCTTTTCCCTTTGTTCGTCACCCACGGATGTGACTCCAAGGTTTATTGCGTGTTAAATACTAAGTAAGCAATATGTAAATAATTTAGAAGACCATCTTTCCTAACAATAACGAGTTAAAACAACATTACAGAACCCGTATGTTTGAGTGATATCCTTTACTTATATTAGATCGTTCAGTAACGTCGCATTTGATGAACGCGCGGTACCAAAACCGTGTAAAGTTCAACTGAAACACGGGGTTCTAAATTCTTTAGCAGGTTGGTCGAAACAAGAGTCATCAGGCGAAACTTTTTTAAAAGTGGCACCAGGCGCCTAAAGGCATCACATGGTTTGTTTAGACTTCGTGTCTCACAGTTGACCTTTGCCATTAGTAATTGCAATCAGGGGATTACGAACCCAAGAGCTTTTCAAAGCTTGTTAGGACTTCACGTCTCACAGTTCGCATTTTAGTGATTAATTTTCACATGGGAAGAATTTTTGAAGAGTGATTAAGAGGGAACTCGAGTAAACTGTGTGTGGGAAAGAGGTACAGCAACATTTTATCACGTTTTAAAAGGTTTATAATTACTGTTGCGCTCTCTTTTTACAGGTAAGTGAGACTTTTGACGCAATCTTTTTATGAAGTCACACTTAAGTTCCTTAAGCCTTAAAGTTACTAGACCCGATTACAAGCGCCTGTTCGGGGAATGAGCCCGCTCTCTTCCTCTTTTTAGAAAAGATCAAAGACTGGACCCCAGATAACTTCGGAAATCGGGTTTAAAGGTAGATGTGAGGATTTACTTGTATATTAGAAGAATACCAAGATATAAATAAACTCGTGTTCATGGGATACCACTGTTAAGAAAAGAATCTGTTCGGGGAGGGAGGGGGGGGTTGGGAAGGAAGAGCTAGGCGATGTTTTTTGGGGGTTGCTCCGTCTTAAGGCCCACCTCTCCACTTTTAAATGACGCTTTTGGATGAGACAGCACAGATCAGTTAAAAAAGGAAATGGTATCCTCTTTTTATCCCTACAGCTTAACAATGCATCTCTGAAACGTCTGCCAAAGAGAAAAGATGCATTTTGGATAAAATATTAAAATACTCATTTCCTTTTACAGCGGCAACTGTTTAACTCATCCTAGATATAGGAGGAAGATTTGGACTCGCCTGACCTTTTCTATGCCTCCTCTCTGTGTGGAGGCACGTACAGCACAACTTCACACGTGACATTTATGCACGAGACTCCAGTGGACAGCGCTCGTTGGTTGAAAGGTGACTTATCCATCATCACAATTTGTCGTAAGTTTGTCGCATACGGTCGACTTAAATCCCGAAAACCCAACCATGTTATCTACCTCTAGACAGAAAGCTTATTGGGGCTGGAGGAGTTAAAATTATGCCCCCCTTTAAACGTCGTCCATTCTAATTCTTTGGCCCTATTGATGAAATTTTACCAATTCCAAGCAAAGGTGGGAGTGTGGGAAAATGTTGGAAAGAGTTAGGGACAAAATTAAGAATGCAATTCACAATCAACATTTGAAAACGTAGACATGCTTCAACGCAATTTGCAAACATGTTGGACTACATTTTAAAAATGTCTTTAGAGAATGAGGAAGTTAACGTAAAACTGGGAATTAACTTCACAAAGAAACTTTTGGAAGCGTTTCAAAACACGATGCGAGTGATAGTTTTCAGCGGGCAGGAAATTGGCGCCCCTAAAACTTTAAAACTAACACCTGACTCCTTTTTAAGCAATAGACTGCGCTTCCTAAAGGTTTATCCGGCGTAATAACCGACGTGAGGTGCATGATGGGAGACTTTTCTCGTGTTCTCCCAACATCCCCCAAGGGTGATCACGCCGGTAAACTGATAGAAAGTGCAGTCGATTGCTTTTATAAAATAATTTTCTATTGGTTTTGGTGCAATGAACAATAAGTTTTTAACCAATCAGAACGCTCGTAGTATCTCAGTTATCTCAGAGTGGAAAGCACTTCACAAGAAATACGTTTTGAGACATAAAACTACATCACATTTATTATCTTTAATAATTCTGAAACGTAATTGAAATCCCCTTCTTATCGCTCTCTTAGGCTGTGATGTACTCTCTTATAAGGTGACTTTTACAATTCTTAAAGTCCTTTTTTCTAAGCAGTGCAGGTTAAATAATAAGATCATTTGATCTTCTCGTGCATAAAATATTAGAAGTGAGTATTGCTTCACATATATTTGCTGAAAAATTCCACCATTATACTTTCTCCAGTGCGTGTTCGAGATCCTTCTTCAAGTCTTCCGCATTCTCCAAACCAACACTGCAGAAAACGTCATCAAACGTCGTTACAAATTGTCACAAAATAGATACAAAGTTTCCCTATTCCTATCGTCCATAACCCCCGATACCTTACAAGAATTCAAGTGCAAAACCCCCACAGGTCCGATTGAAAGGTTCAGACCCTATTCATCTCCACTAATTACGGTCCCGTTAGTAGCTTCTTGTACGCACCTAAATCGAATAAGTGATTCCTTCAATCCAGTCTCCTTCCTTTCTTCCACTGACACGTATTTTTCAGGGTGTGTCATGGCGGTCGCTATCTCTATCAGACTCTGAACTCCACCAAGAGACACTGCCAGCTTAACCAGCTTCAAATTCTGTCGACAAAATGTAAAGTTAGTTTGCCACTTCGAGGGAGATGAAAGAGACCCCAGGACGTGAAATTAATTTTTTTTTCTGAAGGCCACTTGGCTCCTAAATTCTTCAAAGTGGTAGCCAATTCAAAAGAAGTTGGTCGCCATTTTCAAAGACAAACAAAACCTTTTTTTACGCAGTCAGCGTTCTAGATAGACCCTCCAAAATTAAGTTAGGGAAAAGATCTTTAACGTGCTTTATCTTTAAAGTGGACACTAGGATGGATGATATACAACGTTCAAGCTCACCTAAATCCAGGATGGCGTCTAGTCATCGATCGAGATGCATGTGCTGCGTTTTGGAACCAAACTTAACGAGGAAGTTTGCCGCGGATTTATCTTTACAAATCATTTCAATTCTCCATATCTCTTAGTAAGGTTATTATGAAACATTCTAGTCGCCAATTTGGCGACTAATTTTCAGGATTTCGTCGCCAAAGTGAAAAATTTAGTCGCATTGGCGCCTGTATTAAGCGCAATTTCACGCCCTGGACTCTATAAGAGAATGGCTCACTTAACTAGCGGAGAGACTCGGAGTATTGCTACTCCACCTGGATGAAATGCCAGGACATTCCAAGTTACCCTTTCCCCCAGAATTTTGTCATGTTTCCCGACATCTCACTGTTACTCATTCATACCCCTGGGAGAGAGAGGCACTTTAAAGAACACAACACAATGAACAAGAGGGAGCCTTCAGTAACCTGATATACAGGTCCCCTTCATTGGATGTTATTCTGGCCTCCTAATCTTGTAAACCAAGCAAATCCACTAAGTTCTATTTGTCTCCACACCCTGGACGATTATCCACTTAAACGTCTCTTCGATCGTCATGGGGTCCTCTAGTGGACCTTTCCATGGATTATCGGCGTATGCGCAGTCACCTGAACTGGTTAAACTGCGTAAACAACGCCTAACCAGTCCTTATGAGGACATTTCAAAGTTTTCGGCGTGCACCTTGTTTGAGCGCTTTTACCGTTTGCATTTGCCATTTTTATCCTGTAGGTAAGGCGGGGTTCGAGTTCCCGGCGATACAGCTCCCTTACCGTTGAAGTTTTTAACCTCTTTTTATCTTCTTTAGTAATGCAAGGTGGAAATGGCAGCACGTCCATCATACCGCCTAGATACAAAAAAGAATAATAGAACCCTCCTTTTTCAACAGTGTCGTACGTTTCACTGACAGCTTTTGGACGCGAAAATCAAAATCAAAACAAAACAAAACCCGGAACATGATTTTTAATGAAATAGATTTAATTTGACCTGTGTATGAAAATCAAGTAAAGCTATGATCCTAGCAGGTGAACTGCAATTTAAGCAAACGCAAAAAGGAAGCCTGAAAAAAAAATCAGGCTTCGACGGGATTCGAACCCGTGCCTCCAAGTGAGTTACGCTGCTACACGTTTGAAGCAGAACACAATTTAGAGTTTTGTAAGGAGCGTCACTCGCAAATCCTATAAACTCTTAAGCCAGAATAATGAAGAGGAATAAAACACGAAAAAACAGAATTTCAAAGCAAAACTGTCTTGTGATTAGTTGCATCGGTGTAAAGACATTATCATAATCCACTCCATAGTGAAGTCAGCTGTATTATTCTGTCAATCAAGCACATCACAAAGATTCAACTTTAACAACTTAGATTCCTGCTCTGAAAAATTGAGAGTGAAGTGATCACTTTTAGTATAGACCCTATGTCTCAGCGAATGAAGCATTCTCTTTTTTTTCCCTTTTTTTTAACCAAATAAAACGCAAAAATTACTGAAAAACCAAAAGAAGTTCCTCAAAGTTTTTTTGACGATAGATTCAAAGCTTCCTTCTCTTACCTCAACAAGTCTTGTTGCTTCTGCTCGCCCACCTTTCACTTCAAAGGACAACATCCCACTGAAGCCTGTCATTTGTTTCTTCGCAATTTCATGATGCGGATGGGAAGGCAATCCCGGGTAGTACACTCTTTCAATCTAAATATCAAAAAAAAAAAGGGACAATTTCAAGACCTCGTTCGTTTAAAACGATTAACCTTATCTCCTTAAATTTTAATGAAAAAATTGCCAGACCGTCGTATTTCTTGCCGATGTTTGTCATATTTCGACTCCAATTTGACGCCTTGATTGACAAAAGTTAATTTCTTTGAGGGTAACTGAACAAAGAAATCGGAGAGAGTTTTGTAGAAATTCTTGTGAGATTTAGTCAAGATAAACTTCCGAGACATTTTCACACGCTTTGAAAGAAATATGTAGGAAGCGAAATCACATCGATAGTTTGGCGATGGAGCAAAACGAGCGAGTCTCAGTTCAACCGTTACGACATTTGACTGAAATTTATTCATAACTTTACGACATTTGTTAGGGTGAAACATTTTATCCTAAAACGTTACCAAGATCCCCCAGATGCTTCCCCAGCTTCCGTATTCGTAACCCTTACGATATTTGACTGAAATTTTTACAAGACTTTTTAAGGTCTGAGCGGTTTTTGCGAAGAAGAGAAATCTCGTTTATTTGGGAGGGATAAAATTCACCCTCTTACTATGAACAGGCTTAGTTCTTTTACGGTGTATGCTAGGAGGTATAACTTAAATCCAGTCAATCAAATTTTTTCGGTTTTATGGGCGCTTGACAATAATAAAGGCGGTGGAGCCAATTCGGGAATTTTAGGTACCTGTCTTTTTCAGGAAGGCCTTGAGGGTGACAAAATGATATTTAATTAGAAGGCCTGAGGCTTAATTATCAGCTATGGTAAGTAAACAGTATCCTAAAACGTCATTAATGTCACCCTTCTTTTCATTACATTGACAAGTTTCCACAGATGCTTCCCCAGCTCCCGTTTAAAAAAAGTACAGTTAATTGAGCTTTGTACCTTTGGATGACCTTCCAAAAACTTGGCGACTTCCATGG